AAAACAAATAACATTTTATGATTGGGCATTGCATGTCTCTTTAGTATCTAAGCCAGTGGTTCTCAACCTTCTGGCCTTTTAAATACAGTTCCTCATGTTATGACCCAACCATAAAATTATTTTCGTTGCTACTTCATAACTGTAATGTGTCTACTGTTATGAATCGTAATGTAAATATCTGATATGCAGGATGGTCTTAGGCAACCCCTGTGAAAGGGTCGTTTGACCACCAAAGGGGTCGCGACCCACAGGTTGAGAACCGCTGTCCGAGGGCAGGTAGCTATTAACTGGGAGAAAGAGGCTGGACTTTCCCACTGATACCTCAGGGATCCATTCTTCACTGAGTGTTTTGAAGGACGTCTTCTTCCTTCCCTCCCTTACATTCCTTTTGTCCCTTCCAGACCTCTGAAGAGCCGCCATGTCTGACGATACTGCATCTTCCTCAGTACAGAACAATAGCAGCAATCAAACCACAGCCTCCAATCTTCGACGGTCCAAGAAGATATGTTGTAAGTTCTGGCAAAAAAAGAGGGTTGCACTCTCCCAGAATTTTATCTTGGGAATACAGTTGTCATCCGAGACTTGGCTGCTTGGTGGGAGTGAGAAGTAATTCTTTGACAGGGGAATTGAAAACAAAGTCTACAAAGGGAAGAAAAAGACTTGGTGAAGTGTCTGTCCTTGGGGCTAGCCTGCGGGTGGAGCCCAGCATTTTCTTACTGCTCTCTACACCTGAATCTGTCTCCTGGGAGTATCTGCCTCCTGGGAGTATCTGCACACTGCAGGCTAAAAGCTAGGGCAAGCATTAGTAGTATACACTGGGAGTGACCGTGTGCAGGAATTACCTGGGGCAGACATTGTGAACAGTTTCCCTTGGTTTTTTCTTGGGCTACCTTTTGGGAGGGTGCTGCTTATTGGAGAAATTGCAAGTAGGAACCCATTGCTACCACCCTCTGTGGAACCAGCCCTGACATTAGAGACTTTTCTCTGTGTCTTGGGCACCTTACTTTCTCACAGGTGTAGCCTTTGAACTTTGCAGATTATGTTCCCTACAGATTCATTCCTTTGGGGACGAGGTTTCACCGGAGCTTTTCAATGCTAGTTATTTAGACAGAGATGGCAGGTGGGATTGCAGAGCGATGAAGCAATTGCGGTGCTAAGCATTATTATAGACGTCAACAGGGTCAGTAGGTTCAGAAGGTCCTGGGCCACTGGGCTCCAGATGTCCTGGGGAACCTAAAGGAATGCCAGTCCTTCTTCCCCCAGTGTCCAGATTGCATCTTGCCTTCAGTCAGTCTTCTCACATCAGTGGTTATATATATATTGGCAGGTGGAAACAGCCAGGCAGCATGAGACCTGGAATCATCTCATGTTCAAAGCTTTCCCCAGAGTCTTGACCTTGATCTCATGCCCTTTTCAGTCTCAGGATTAATGATGATAATCTCTTCACCTGGCGCCCATGAGGCTTGCTGGGTTTTGGGTTGTAGCAGGGGCAGGTGGTTTGGATGTCATACTGGGGTTGGCATACTTCGCCGGTTAGGGTCTCCTTTCTCTGCGAGGGCAGAAACCTAGATACTGCGGGCTGTTTTTAGTGCAGCCTCTAGAGCAGTGGTTCTCAACCTTCCTAATGCTGTGACCCTTTAATACAGTTCCTCATGTTGTGGTGACCCCCAACCATAAAATTATTTTCGTTGCTACTTCTTAACTGTAATTTTGCTACTGTTATGAATCGTAATGTAAATATCTGATCTGCAGGATGTATTTTCATTGTTACAAATTGAACATCATTAAAGCACAGTGATTGATTACAAAAACAGTAAGTAATTATATGTGTTTTCCGTTGGTCTTAGGCGACCCTTGTGAAAGGGTCGTTCAACCCCCAAAGGGGCCGAGACCCACAGGTTGAGAACTTCTGCTCTAGAGTAAGAACCTCTGTGTTTGAATCTGGGATTTAATACTTCCTGGCTATGTGCACTTGAACAAGTTGCGTACCCCCTTTGTAAAATTAGGATACTAATAGCATTCCTCCCATCTCCCCACCCCCACCCCCCAGTGATGTGAGAATTAAATGAGTAAATATAGGAAAACACTTAGAAGAGTGTTGGGCACGTAGCTAGGTGTATTATTTTTACTGGCGGTTCTATTTGCATGTTGTGTTTATTCTTGAAATATCTAAATTGAGTTGTGGTCTACATGCTCTGATGGGGAGCTCTCTGTTTAAAAGAACCCCGTGAAGAATTATATTTTCAGTAAAGAATATTTTCTCCTCTTATTTGACAGCATTGTAACCCAGATTTTGGGGTGTGGGTGCACATTCTAAAGAGAGGTGCACTTGATTCACCAGGGCACAGAGAGCTGGTACATGTGTGGGGAGGAGCTGATACATGTGGGAGCCTCTGACCCTGCACAATGAATGCCCAGTGTCAGTCCTGACCCTGCTTCATTCTCCAAAGGAATCTCCTATCTGCCTTCCTGACTCTTTGCAAATTTTCTGCCCTGAAGGTTTCTGATTAGCCAAGAAACAGTAATCCCAGGTTTTAGCCCTCTGGCTCTTCAGTCCTGGTTTGGGCTCTGATCCTCCTCTCGAAGCTCCACCCTCTGCCCCACTGGAAGCCTTTGGGTTGTCCTAAAGCCCCTGTCCTTCATTTGCCCCATCTCTTCTCCCTTCCGGTTGGACTATGAAACCCTTACGGTCAAAGGAGAAATGCAGTCATGAGACTATATGTTAATTCATTTCCTTTTTCTCTGTTATTTGCCTGCATCATGGAACGGGCTCCCCTGGCTGCTCAGTGTTCATACCCGGCAGTTCCTTTATTAATAGCTCAGCCATTATCCCCTTGGTGCTAATTACACCTGTGCTGGCTGACTTGGACTCTATGAAGTGACTGAGCTGAGGATTGGAAGATTACTTTAGGGAACTAAAGCCTCCAAAAGAACCTTCCTGGGACGTCAGCTGCTGCAGGGGTGGAGTGATGGCTGAGGTGCCTTGAAGGTGCTCGGAGGACTGCTGTCAGGGCTCTCAAAGCAGTAGTGTGTGTGGGGGTGGGGAGGTCTACATTCTTTTCTTTCTTCGTTTCATCTATTCTTTACTATTTTGAGTAGGTCGGGAACAGACAAATTCCCATGTATACCTTTCCCTAATGACAAAAGCAGCACATGCTCATGAAATATTCAAACAGTACAGAAAGAAAGTGAAAAGTAAAAAATCTCCCACACTTTCTCCTGTCCCTGTTAAGTCTGCCTCTTTCTAACAGCTCATTCTGGTGTATCCTATTAAAGAAAAAAAGGTTCACGCTGTACACGTTTGGTTCTGCTGCCATTGTTCCACCCACCCCACCCCCTTTAAGCTTGCTATATTTTGGACATTTTCTTCCATGTCAGTTAAATCCAGATTTACCTCATTGTGCACAGTATTGCATTGTATGGATATGTCAGTCTCCCCCTGATGGACATTTCTGTTTCCAGTTTTCCACTATCACAAACAATACTGCAGTGAGCATCCTTGCATACACACACACACACACACAAACACACCTTTGCATGTTTGTGCTAGCAACTTTTCTATAGAAATAATAGAAGAAAAGATCGATACATTTAAAATGTTGATCAGCATGACTGCCCTACAAAGTTCTGTATTGTAAACTGTTTTAATGTTTCAAAGTAATTGATGGTACTTGGGCATTATTAACTACTAGAGGCCTGGTGCACGAAATCCCTCAGCCTGGCCTTTTGCAGTCCTGAAGCCTTTGGGGGATGCCCAACTGATGGGTTAGCGGGCCTAAGCTAGCTCCCCACAAGGAGCGGGCCTAAGCTAGCAGTCAGAGATCCTCAGTGTTGCCACAGAGGTTGGAGAGGCTCCTGCCACTGTGGCTGCGCTCGCCAGCCATGAACTCCTGCATTGAGCGTCTGCCCCTGGTGGTCAGTGCGTGTCATAGCAACCAGTCTTTCTGCCGTCCGGTCGATTTGCATATTAGCCTGTTATTATATAGGATTATATAGGATAGCTGCACTGATTAGCAAAACAACTTTCTTAGCAGTTTGGGTATTTCATGCCTATCAGTCAAATAGAAGGCGATAACTGTCAGTTTATGACTTCTGATGAGTAAAAAAGAGAAGATATTACTAATGAAACACACTTTAATGGGCAGCATATTTCAAAAATGTTGGCTCTACTTAGGACAAGTAGTGAAGAAGGCCTTGATCTTGAAAAGGCTGGGAACCAGTGGCCTTCCGGGCCACCCTTCAGAATCGGATTAGAAAGCTTGGTTGTGCTTATTACCACATGGCTCCTTGGTCAGGTGCTGACAGGAGTGGAGGCTGGGACTGAATGGGTGGCCATGAAACCAGGAGTCTGGTCAGAGCCCTGACCTTGATTGACTCTCTACTGTGGGCCATGCTGGTTTTCTCTGAGCTTGAGTTTGTCTGTCTATAGGAGGGAAGTCACCAAGCCCTCATTTCCTCATTTCCCTGAGTGTGTTCATGAAAGGGAAGTAAGTGAAAGACTGAGAAAGTGAGTTAAACCTCATGTAAAGAAGATAGAAGAGGCTTTCAAGATTGAAACAGCTTTCCATGATATGCCCATGGGTGTGTTACATTGTCTCTGAAATTAATCAGCATGAAGTGTCTACTATTGAAAATTAAGGTGAGGGTGTTTGTTAACAGGCAGGACAGTCTGTTCCTGGTTCTGCTAATGTGGCAGTTTGAGACAGGAAGTGTGGAAAATGAGAAGCCCTGGTTGCGGCAGATGTGTGTGGGAGGACTGTGGGCAGAGGCAGGTGGTGTGGTTCTGGGGGCCACTGTGGGGAGACATTAGTGACCCGTGTTTTCTTTTGTTCCGAGCCCTCAGTCCAGTTTGGTTTACACAGAGCAGCTGGTTCCTTCCTTGGCTGCAGGGCAGCTCCCGAGCATCAGTTTATTTTCAGCATTAGGGAGGTAACAGGACCTTTGGGGAAGCGCCTAATGGGCTGGAAGGTGTGGACAAAGCAGGCCTGGAAGTGCAGGTAATGAGCCAGATCATGGGGGGTGGAGAAGAGCGAGGCGCTGAGCTGGAGAAAGTGAAGACTCAGGAGGATTTAAATACTGAAATCCCGGGGCAGCTGATCCCAGGGAGATAGATCTGCCTGTCAGGGGTCAGGGGTCAGGGATGAACATCAGCTGAGGATGCTGGGTTGAGTTCTCTTGCTTTCGTGCTGCAGATTTGATGAGAGATGAAAATCACTTCCGGTGCCCAGGCCAGGAATTGTCGATGTGCCAAGCCCTCTGACCCTGAGCCTACCCCTCCCTCACCACTTGGGCCACTCCTTGGCTTCCGTGTACTTCTTGCCAAACACCCCTAGGAAACTCTTCCTTCCGAGGCCTGTTCTCTACCGGGCCCTTCTGCCCACTTCTCCACTGAGTTCTTTTGACACTCCTTTCCCCGAAGAGAAATGATGACTTTTCCACCCATGTTCCCCGATTTTACTGAATTGTTTCTTAGCCCCATGGAGTCCCCTTGTCCCAGGGTAGAGCAGTGGCAACGACTTGCAGGGCACCCTCTGGAAAGCAGTGCTGGGAAGTGAAGGCAGTTGGTTCTTTCCCTCTCCCGTCCCTGTGCCCTTAGAGGAGCCCACAGAGCCGAGCCTCCCAGATGACCTCCTTTGGGTCTTGATCCGTGGGAAGTGGTTGGCAGCAGTGCGGGGCCCTCACCCACCACTCCTCTAACAGCAGGATGGGCAGAGAGGAGCCAGATCCTATGGGCAAGCGGATGAGAAATCACAGGCTCTTTTTAAGGAGAAAAGCCACCGAGGGAGCACGGAATCCGGACTCTAGTACCAGCTCTTCTCTGTCTTATTGTGTGTCCATAGGCAAGTCACCTGGCTGACTCTGAATATCTAGTTTGCCCACCTGTCCAGTGAGTATGTAAATGCGTATCCCTGAATAAGTTTCCTAAGGAAGCCCGAACCAATGACTGTTCCTGCTTCTAAATTGTCTTGCTTTCTTGTGGGCCATTGAGGCGGGCTGGCCGTGATGCCCTTGTGGGCTAAGCTTCACTGAAGTTTCCTGAGGTCTAGTCGGAACCTGGTCAAGGAGGCGTTTCCGCTGGTGGATTAGACATTCTGGCTTAAGCTCATGTCCTGAGTGCAAGGCCAAAACAACTTGCTTCACTGAAGTTTCCTGAGGTCTAGTCGGAACATGGTCAAGTAGGCTTTTCCGCAGTCTAATCTCACTGGTGGTTTAGACATTCTGGCTTAAGGTCATGTCCCGAGTGCAAGGCCAAAACAACTGGAAGCCCGGCTCTTTTTGTGGTGGGCAAGCTAATTCTTGCCCATGGCTCTGAAGGGATAGATGAGATATGAGCCTAGACACTCTGTTGGACCTATTCTAGGAGCCTGCTCAGTTCTAAATAGGTAGGATCTCCAGACATAAGACCCTCCTTCGAAGCTATATCATCCTTGCGTTGAGCAGGGTGCCATCTTACTGTCTTTCTATCTCTTTCCACCTCGGGTACTTCTGTGAGACCTTGGGCACATGGGGAAAGCATATCTTCATGTTTTGGAGACTTTCTGAAAACCTACATGACTCTTCTACTCTTTCAGGAGGGTTTGCCTGATAAGTCTTCAGTTTGCCTTCCCAGTCTTCCTGGACCCTTGTCTCACTGAGGTGTTTGAGGATTAAACAAGAGTCTAGCTATGAAGTCGCTAACCCTGTGCACGCAGCTGACTTGGCCCCTAGTCATTCAGCTCTGTTGTGTCTCCTTTCTCTCTAGCGTGGGCATCCTACATGACCAACTCCCCGACGCTAATTGTTATGATTGGCTTGCCAGCCCGGGGCAAGACCTATGTGTCCAAGAAACTCACACGTTACCTCAACTGGATTGGAGTGCCCACGAAAGGTAGGTGCGGGTCGTGTCATTCATTTGGGAAGGGAAACGATCCATTCCTCCATCTCACAGGCTCTGCGGGATTCATTCTTCCTGGCATCAAGGTTACAGGGTGCTTCTGGCAGAAGCAGTTGTTACTTCTGGATTTGCTGAATTTATTCTTGCTCACAGACTTACTTCCTCCAGAATATGATTCTTTCCTCAATGCCTTTGACCATATACGCTTGACATTTTTTAAAAATAGATTTTTATTGATTTCAGAGAGGAAGGGAGAGGAAGAGAGAGATAGAAACATCAGTGATGATAGAGAATCATTGATCAGCTGCCTCCTGCATGCCCCACAACTGGGGATCAAGCCTGCAACCTGGGCATGTGCCCTTGACCATACTGGAACCTGGGATCCTTCAGTCCACAGGCGGATGGCTCTGCATGTTGCCCCAGTTCCCTCCCTGACCCTCCCTCTATGCTGATGCGCTATTTTAACGCTGCCCCAGTTCTGCATGTCTCTGGGATCACCTAAACAGAGAAGAATCAAAAGAAGTAACCAGGGAATATGAAGCCATGCCATCCAGGCAGGACCTCTTGTCTTGGGGTAGGGGGGGGGTGGGGGGAGAGAGAAGGAGGGGAGAATGGGGACTCCTCTCACCTAGGGGCTCAGAGAGCCCTACCCGGCAACAATGCATCCCTACTGTCCAGTTCCTGGTTTCCAGCTTGGATCTGCCCCTCTCACATCCTGGTGGCGCTTCATGTCGGTAAAATGAGACATGACTAAATGAGTTTGATCCAGTGGGACTTGTTCCCTACATGCCTTGGTGCTTTTTTGTTTTATTTTATTTTTTTTAATCCCCTTTGGCCACTCTTGACATTAGACCAGGATGGCCCCTTTGGTGGGGTCACTGTATTGTCTCAGTGCTTAGGGGTGTTGGTGTCTTCTGCAGTGTTTAATCTCGGGGTGTATCGGCGCGAAGCAGTGAAGTCCTATAAGTCCTACGACTTTTTCCGGCACGACAACGAGGAGGCCATGAAGATTCGCAAGTGAGTCTTCTGACCCCTGACCTCTGGGCCAGCCCTTTCTCGGCCATCCTAAGAGTGGATGTGATGGGACTTAGTTTCCCTTTCAGTAAATATTTTGTGGGGATTTGGAGTGGAAGCTATCTTCTGAACAGGTCACTTTGGGCTTGTGTGGGTAGAAGAACGGGGCTTAGGGAGATGTATGCATGCTTGCAGATTAAGCCTACAGAGGGATAAGATATATGCATGGGCTGGGGGAAAGGGACAGATGTAGGCTGATATAAACATCTCAGTGGGGAGTTGAAAGGTGTAGTTAGGGAAGTGTTTGACCAGTGAGAAAACTTAAGCAGGAAGGGACGTGACTCCGATAGCCGGTCTCTAGCTATGCCCGAGCCTGGTCTCGCTGCACTCGCCCTGCTGATCTCCTCTGCTCTCACGGCAGACAGTGTGCTGTGGTGGCCCTAGAAGACGTTAAGGCGTATCTCACCGAGGAGAGCGGGCAGATTGCGGTAAGCTTTGCCTACCTCTTCCCCGCCTTGGTCTCTACCCTTTCAAAGCTGTGTACCCCTCCCCCCGCCCCCTTGGGTCCACCTTGGAGGGATTCCATTTTTCGCTCCCCACTCATTGACCTTGTGGGCGCTCTTCCCAGGTGTTTGATGCCACCAATACAACTAGGGAGAGGAGGGACATGATTTTGAACTTTGCCGAGGAGAATTCCTTCAAGGTAGGATCTGACTCCACAGTCGGAGGAAAGGGGATGAGTGGAAGTGGGCAGTTGGAAGGCACATGCAGATTGGTTTGGCTCTGGTGAGTGAGGCCAAGACTGGGTATATGATTCTATTCTCTTGGGCCAGGCCCACAATCCTTGAGTGTTTTCTTGCAGGTACTTTCTCAGCCCCTTAGCCTATATGTCTGAGGCCCTGGGGATGTGGTAAGAGTTATTTTTAAATGAACAGGCCTTGAAGGCACTGTCATGAAAGAAAATCCCAGGGGATGTGGTGGCTGGGTGAGGTAGGTATGAGCATGTGCTCTTAATGAACAGCCTGGCCAATTTTGACTCATTTATCACTGCCCTCTCTTTCTGGCCAGGTGTTCTTTGTGGAATCTGTGTGTGATGATCCTGATGTCATCGCTGCCAACATCCTGGTGGGTGACACCCCTGTATACCACCACCTCTTTATCCTTTGTGCCTGGTGTGTATGTGGAGGGGGGCAGGGGGCGGTAGGAGGGCAGAGTCTGCTGGATAATGAAAGAAAGAAATAGACATGTTTAACATCACTGACTGATCAATTTGATGTGCCAGAGCACCGTTTTGTACTTCCACACTCTTGGGAGAGGAAACAGGCTTTGAGGAATAAAATAAAAATTAGCTGTTGAATGGAGACCAAGACTTAGACTGGAGGATTCCTGGCCCCGTGTCCTGGGTGTTAGCTGGATGCAAAGGCCTAGGTGTCTTCTTAGAATGGACCAAACTCTCATGGTCTGTCAGGGCCACTTTCTAGGAAGGTCACCCGCCCAGCATTTGTCTAATGGTCAGAGTATAAACCGGTGCCCATTTGATGGGTTGTGCTGTGCCAAGTAGACATCCACGCATGGTATCAAGATGGCGCTCTCCCAGCACCGTGGGCCCTTGGGATCGTCTAAGGAAGAGGCGTCTGGCCCAAGTCAGGCATGCGTCCAATCACGCATCTTATTCTAAATGGTCGTAGGGAGAAATGGAAGCACATTCTGTCTTCCCCAGGAGGTGCATGAAGGGATCGGGGCTCAGGAGCAGCTTTCGCTGCCTGGCTCCCGGCTGTCCTTCAGCCAAGGGCAAGCACATGACTCCCCAGTTGTCTTGCCCTTCTGGGTTGCCAGGATCATAGGCCAGAGTGGGGGTGGTGCTCAGTGAGTGGGGCTTGCCAGCGCTGCAGTGAAAGGCCACTGCTGTGGGCTTCCTTTTCTTTATTTAGCAGTGGCTGCTTGCAGCAGGGCCAGTGAGGGCAGCCCTCTGACCAGGTCCTGCTCTTCTGTGATTCCAGGAAGTGAAGGTGTCCAGCCCTGACTACCCTGAAAGGAACAGGGAGAATGTGATGGAGGACTTCCTAAAGAGAATTGAGTGCTACAAAGTCACCTATCAGCCCCTTGACCCAGACAACTATGACAAGTAAGGTTTGAGGCCACGGTTTCAAGAGCATAAATACGGATCTCATTTGAGAAAAAAGCCTTTTTCGCTCTCTCTGTTCCCAAACTTCCTGCTGCCATTCCAGACCCTGTATCTCTCCAGAGAAACAAGGTATGGATTTGTGGCTTCTATGTGGGTTGCATCTTACCCTTGTACACTGAAGTGTTTTGTTTTGTTTTTACGATCATCAATTCTTCCTCTCTCTCCTCTAGAGCAGGGGCAGGGAACCTTTTTCCTGCCAAGGGCCATTTGGGTATTTATAACATAATTCTCAGGCCATACAAAATTATCAACTTAAAAATTAGTCTGCTGTATTTGGTCAGACATTGAATTAACTCACCTCTAATGCTTTGGCAGGGCCAGACCAAATGATTGTGTGGGCCTTGTACAGCCTGCGGGCCAGACGTTCCCCACCTCTGCTCTAGAGCAAGATTTCTCAGCCTCCACATTGTTGACATTTTGAAGTAGATAATTCTGTGTAGTTGTCTTGTGCATTGCAGGATACTTAGCAGCATCCCTGCCCTCTTCTCACTAGATACCAGTAATAACTTCCAACCTGTGACAGCCTAAAATGTTTCCTGACATTACCTGGGGAATAAAATCACCCTTGGTTGAGAAGCACTGCTCTAGATCAGTAGTTTTAAACGAGGGTAATGTAGGGTACCCCTTAGAGTTATGTCATCAGCTTTTGATCAATTTTAAAAGTGTATGTGTGTGTACATATATGTTAAATAATATAGATTAATACATATGTATACATATATAACAACACATATACAATATAAAATGTGTATGTTATATGCATGTGTATATGCATGTAATGTATATCTAATGTGTATCTTGTTACATATAACAGATAACAGTTAGGTATATAAATTAAACATGAAGTTCTCAGGACATGCCTGGCTTAGTGAAATGTCTGATCATGGCTAGCTGTCGTTACTATGGCAGCATCTATCAGCAAAGTGGTGTACAATACACGTTAACTTGATGTGTGTGAGGTATAGGAGCCATAGCAAAAGGTCAAGTTCATGTTGAAGAAAGATGTGTGCACATGGAAACTCATGAGGACTTGGAGTGCTAAATACAATAGAATATACAGATGATGTATTGTAGAATTGTAAACCTGAAACCTATATAGTTTTATTAACCAGTGTCACCCCAGTAAATTAAAAACAAACAAACAAAAAAAACCTGTGAGAATGTGGCCTTTGAAAAGGCACGCAGTCAGCAGTTTCCAGTTCTAGCCAATAAGAATACAGCCCTGCAGCCAAGCAAATGAGACAAGTGTGCATAACCACTGCTGAATCACTTCACTGGTCTGCTGTGGAGTCTTTCAGTTCCTCAAGGGGTTGCCCGGAATGTTAGTAGTTGCAGGTGTTCTTTATAAGAGGTTGCAAAGCACCACCTTCGATATGACTTAATAGTGTATTCTTTAGTTACCCCCAAAGTCCTACATAGAACACATTCTGGAAGTGTGTGTGTGTGTGTGTGTGTGTGTTTATAGATGTTATCTCTGGTGGTAGGCTTATGGTACATTGATTTTTATTTGCATCAATGTACCTTTAAAAATCTTTCTGGAATAAGCATTATTTTTATAATGAGGTAATTCCATGATAGCCACAAAGCGAACTGTCCATGGAAGTGCCTTTGAGAGAAGATTGATGTAGGTAGATGCCGGGAATGCACAGAGGTTTCTCTGGTTCTGCTTCTCCTGCCTCCCCCTCAGCTGGTGATGCTGTACTCTGGCCAGGTCACGACCCCTCAGATTGGGGGCTGTGCTTCTCACCCAAATTCAAGGTTAGCAAAACCTTCAGGTCATCTAGTGTAGCCCCTCACGGGAGCCTGAGTTCTGTCGATCACACTTATTTCACGGCATAGTGTAGGCACTGAGGGACTGACCAGGAGTTTGGGAGATTTGTACTTCGTCTTGGTTCTGGGGAGTAATCCAGCTCTTACCATTCAGCTGGGCGGGGCTCTGACAGGGGAGGAGGAGAGCTGCTGTGAGTCTGTGAGTAACTGTGACATCCTTTCCCCTGCCACCCTTATCCTTAGATTTTTATACTCAGGGATGTTTTTCCCTTCTGTCCCAGGGATCTTTCTTTCATCAAGGTGATCAACGTGGGCCAGCGGTTCCTAGTGAACAGAGTCCAGGACTACATCCAGAGCAAGATAGTCTACTACCTCATGAATATCCATGTCTATCCCCGCACCATTTACCTTTGCCGGCACGGGGAGAGCGAGTTTAACCTCCTGGGGAAGATTGGGGGCGACTCTGGCCTCTCGGTGCGGGGCAAACAGGTGAGCAGTTAGCCTGCAGGCTGGGTTTCCCAGGCTTAGAATTAGAGGGCGGAGTGGAGGTCATCTCTGTTATCCCCTTACTTCTTCCTAAACCCCACTGAGGCTTAGGTTTCAGACGGTCCAGCAAGGGCTAAAGGTTTTCCTTGCTCACTGATTCTAGCTCCGTAGTGAAGGGTGGACAGCTTGGAGCCATCCCTGCTGTGGTCGTTCAGCCATCGGTTATCGGGCACAACCTGGGTGCTTGGCAGAGACCAGGGCACCTCAGCGGAAGCTCCTTTCCTCTTGGGTTTATCGCACGGAGCACCTTTCCGATTCTGACTGCGGTCACGCACGGTGCCCTCCTCGGCCGAGTCAGCAGGTGTATGTGTGTGTCCGTGTTTCCTCTCTTTAAACTTTTATTTCACACCCCAGTTTGCCCAAGCTCTCAGGAAGTTTCTGGAGGAGCAGGAGATAGCAGATCTCAAGGTGTGGACGAGCCAGTTGAAGAGGACTATCCAGACTGCCGAGTCGCTGGGGGTGACCTATGAGCAGTGGAAGATTCTCAATGAGATTGACGCTGTGAGTGGGAAGCGCGGATGGCCTGGATAGCCTCTCATTCAGGCAGGCGCTCTCAGAAGCCACCGTCTGGGCAGTTTGACCTCACATCTAGGGCAGTGATGGCGAACCTTCTGAGCTCGGCATGCCAGCATTTTGAAAAACCCTAACTTAACTCTGGTGCCGTGTCACATAGAGAAATTTGTTGATCTTTGCAACCATAGTAAAACAAAGACTTATATTTTTGATATTTATTTTATATATTTAAATGCCCTTTAACAAAGAAAAATCAACCAAAAAAATGAGTTCGCGTGTCACCTCTGACACGCGTGTCATAGGTCCGCCATCACTGGTCTAGAACCACCACGTAGAGACATTGCAGAAGCCAACACTGTGGCTGGTGTGGGGAGGAAGGAGGAACAGTTCTACCCCTAATTAGGGCTTCCTGCTGCTAGAACACCTGTGCCAGGAATGGCACTCCAGCCAGTTTGGGGGCACCTGGGAGTTCCATTTGGTACCTCGGTATATTTTCTTCCTGGGAAAAAGAAATAGCAAACAGCTCTTTTCTTTAATGTCTACTTAGATCATTTGGCCAGCCATTCTAAAAAAAAGTCCTTTCCATTTGTGTCCTTGGCTTTCTCTGTCCTTGAGCACAAAAGTAGGCAATCCTTTTTCTTTGCTCCCTCTGAACCCTTCTCTGCCTTCTGCACGAATTCTGCAGTCCCTTCCGCTGCCTCTCCTTCCCTGCTTCCTGTTCCTTTTATCCCGCTGACTTTTCTCGACCTTTAAATTCCCCGCAGTAGTAGGAGAAAGCGGCAGCTTATGCTAGAGAAGCCGCCGCCTCTCCGCAGTGGCCCTCTCCCCGCCTGTCCCAGACACACTGGCCAGGCAGTTGCAGGACGTGCAAGGACCCGGCACAGTGCCTGGCACGTAGTAAGAAACTAGTGTTCCTCAGTGTCTTCTGCCTTCGTGGGGTGGGGCTGTGTGGGCCAGTGTACCTCCGTAAGCCAGTGTGGCCCCTTGCAGGGCGTGTGCGAGGAGATGACCTACGCAGAGATTGAGAAGCAGTACCCAGAGGAGTTCGCACTTCGGGATCAAGAGAAATATCTGTATCGCTATCCTAGCGGGGAGGTGAGATTCCCTCATGTGGCGCCACTGCCCTGCCCTGTGCTGGGGAGTTTGGTGTTAATCTGGGGGAAGGATTGAATGGATTTAGGGGGATTTAGAAAGGGTACTTGAGGCAGAACTTAGTTTATTCTCCTAACTTTGGGTCCTACTGTCTTTAATTCAGCTTAGGCAGTCAGATGCCTCATTCATTTGTTAAGATCTCTAGGGGAAAGAGCGGCAAGACAAGCTGTGTTGAGTATGTTGTAGAATCAACACCATCTTTTTCACTTTATTTTTTTCATTCCACTCACTACATCCCACGCCCAGATATGGGCACCAAGTAGATATATGGGCTGTGAATGAAATCCCTCTCAGCTTCAGAGTTTGGGCTGTTTCCTGGTCTAAGTGGCTTCACAGTCTAGGGATGTGTGAGATGAAGGAAGTCAACAGTATGACCGAGGCCCAGGGAGCCTCCAGGAGCCCCTTGTTGCCTCATGCTCTGCCCGTTTATCTGGGGAAGAAAAAACCCACACGCTGAATGCAGATTTTCTCTTCCTGACCTGGAGTTTCCTCAGTCTGAGTGTTGCCCTTGAAAGATCTCAATATTCTTAGGAGCTTCCAAAGCTGGGGAGTTAGCAGGCGACATGCAGTCGCTGAAGCTCTAGGAGGGAAGCCAGCTGGGGAGGAAGGAGCAGTGGCCTCTTTACTCTGGACACAGCCTCTGCCTCGGCTGCCAGCTTGCCCCCGGCCTCCTAGCAGCCTGCCCACTTTCCCCCCCCACAGTCGTACCAGGACCTGGTGCAGAGGCTGGAGCCTGTCATCATGGAGCTGGAGCGCCAGGGCAATGTCCTCGTCATCTCCCACCAGGCTGTCATGCGCTGCCTCCTGGCCTACTTCTTGGATAAGGGCGCAGGTGCCATTGAGGGAAGGTCTGGGAGGGGCCTGGGCTCCGGGTGGCACCAGGATCCCTGGCAACTGGGCTTCCCCCTCTTTCACTCAAATTGGAGTGCATTCTTCAGGCACCAGTGTGGGGCGCCCAGCAGCCACCGAGCCAGCTCCTGGCTGAATTGACTGCTGGTCCGAAAGCCCCCAGTGGAGGGGCTGCTGCTGGGCTGCTCAGTCCTGCTTGGCTCGAGGGCGGCCTCAAGCTAACCTTTCTGGCAGCCTCAGAAAAGCGGTTGGACATGCCAGCTTGTTACTTTGGCTACAAGGAGGGTGGTACCTTAGAAGCATCTTCATCCTTAGATTTAGGACAGTTTCTGGGTGGAGCTGGAAGTGCCGGTACTTCCCTTCCCGACCTACCTGACCGGCTGAGAAGCCTGCAGGTGGGCCACGCTCTTTCCTTCCATGGGGTCCTGGCTGCAGCTCTTACTCCTGTTTTGTCTGCATGGAGGGATCGAAAATGGGCTTACATCCTTCCTTAGCCACGCCGTTGCTTGGGTGGCTGTCTTGATCACTGTCTGGGGTTCAGGGGAGGACAGTATAACTCTAGGTCAAGGTGAAGGGAGGAGCTGGATCACTCCAGGTCAAGGTAAAGAAAACTCATGCGCTCCTTAGTCTCTTTCTGCCACTAGCTTGACCTCACTCCATGCGAAGAGGCTTCCTCACCTGGTCTTTCTGCTTTCAGATGAGCTGCCGTACTTGAGGTGCCCGCTCCATACCATCTTCAAACTTACTCCCGTGGCCTACGGTAAATATGCATTTAGGAGCTGGGCAGAAGGTGGGGATTGAGCAAGGTCAGGATTTCTCTGAAGTTTGTGTAGAAGTTCAACTTCATCGCCCCTGTGTACCAGGAAAGCCCTGTTTTTAAATGTATGTATGTACTGGGGACGTAGGCGTGCTTTCTGGTGTGCTTGCCCATGCTGAAACAGAGGGATCTTTCTCGGAGCTTTGCCCCTCAAAGGCCTCTTTGCTCTCCTCTGTGTTCCCAGGGTGCAAAGTGGAAACGATTAAGGTCAACGTGGAGGCTGTGAACACTCACCGAGACAAGCCAGCGGTAAGTATTTCCCACAGACGAGCGTGCAGGTTCCCTGCCACCTTGAGAACTGGAACCTTTGGCATCAAGACACTGGGGTTGCTTTTATGTACAAAAGGAAAACAGATCCAGGACTCATGTCCTAGGTAGTCTGCTCACTTCCAAGAGGCAGAGATGTTGGAATGAACTATTTTTAGAGATTAGTACCTCTTTCATGAGTCTTGACCTTTGGACCTCCTGGAAAGCCAGTTAAAAATGCAAAGCGTTTGGCTGAAGTGAAGTGCAACGCCCTCCTCTCTCCCCCCTCCCCCCCTTTAGGAAGCAGGATCCAGCAGACCCTCACCTGTCAGGTGGGGTGAAGAGGTGCAGTTCTGTTCCTAGGTCTGTCCCGGTAGTCCGTTTGCTCTTAAGTGAGCCCCTTCCTTTCTGGGTCCCTCTTTCCTGCTTTGGAGTTCGATGCTCAAGGAGCGTCTCCCTCCACAACCCTTTATCTTCCTGGGGCCAGGGGACCAGGCCACAGCCAGGGCTCAGGAGGCGGCCTCAGGGGCAGGATGAGTGTTGTGGTTATGAGCATGATGTAACCTTCACGGGCGAGCTTTTGTCTTAGCTTTCATTTGTGTGGTGTCCCTCCGTTTCTAATCAGAACAACTTTCCCAAGAGCCAAACCCCTGTAAGGATGAGAAGGAACAGCTTTACTCCTCTGTCCAGTTCGAATACAATCAGGCGTCCGAGAAATTACAGTGTTGGGAGCCGGCCCCTCAAGCCCCTCAATCCTCTCCGTGCCCTGGACATGCAAGAAGGGGCCGACCAGCCGAAGACCCAAGTCAGCATTCCGGTGGTGTAACTCTGTGTTTCCCTCCAGTCCTGGCCTCCTGCCCCTGCCACTAATCACCAAGGAGTCATTTAACTTCCAAGCCCCACCCCCGACCGTGAACGTGAGGCCCTGTGTCGCAGACCAACCTTAGCTGTCCTGCAGTGTGTACCCTCTCCCCATCCAGGGTCCAGTGGCCCGAGTTGGGTGCTTCGGAACACGTCCTCATGGGGCGGTCTGGAGGAGGAGGAAACGGGGTGCTCGCCCCCGGGCTGATAAGCTTACCTGGGACTGAGGCTAAGCAGGGCCAGCACGTTGGTTCTTGTCAGTGTCTGGTGTCTAAAGTGACTGATGTTAGTAAGTTGGGGGTGGGTTGGAGGGGGACACAGAAGCCCACTTTCCCCTTAACCTTTGTCTCTTCAGAGTGTGCTTTACTCACCGTGCTTACCTGCCTGCTTTCTCCCCCTCCCTCATCTCCCCATTGGATTGTCCAGTGTGATGCATGTCATTGTCACTGTAGTGTCTGACTAGGGGGGACGGGAAGGTCAGCAAGAGAAATTCTCTCTGCAGGGGGCCCAGATGGACGTGGACCCGGGAGCCTTTCTTTCTCCTGCTCCCTTTCTCTCAAGCTGGGTCTTGCAAGGGTCCGCCTAGGCCAGTGGTTCTCAACCTGTGGGTCGCGACCCCTTTGGGGGTCGAAAGACCCTTTCACAGGGGTCGCCTGAGACCATCGGAAAACACATATATAGTTACATACTGTTTTTGTCATTGATCACTATGCTTTCATTATGTTTAATTTGTAACAATGAAATTGGGGGTCACCACAACATGAGGAACTGTATTAAAGGGTCGCGGCATTAGGAAGGTTGAGAACCACTGGCCTAGGCTCTAGAACATCTGCAGATGCTCTGGAGCTAGTAAGTGGATGTAGGGGGGAGAGTTCTTGCCTCCTTTCATGAGAAATAGTCCCAAGGCTTTGCTGCCCTGGGGAGAGCTGCCTCTGAGAAAGGGGGGAGTAGCTTGGTTTGCATTTTTCAGGAGCCAGGCATAGGTCTTGTGGCAGCTGTGGGGTGAGGTTTAGGAGAGGAGGGCGGTCCCCTGCTGCTGCAGGGCTGTCGCAGGGCCGGTCATCTGTGTTCTCCAGTGGCTCCCAGCCTCTTTGCCAGCCACTGCCAGCCAGTGACCTCTGGGGCTGTTTAGAAGAACAGTAACCACTGACTCAGGAGTCACCACTGATGTTTGAATTGCTCAAGTCCAAAGGCAGAGAAGAGTTCACCCAGCTGCTTATTATTTTCGAAGCAAAGCACTCCCTTTTAAGTTGAAACATCTCGAGCTGGTTTCGGGACCCTGCGGGGTCTAGGTCTTCGCTGTTTATATTTATTTCCCTATTCTGTTCTGTCACTTTATTTTTTCTGTAGGGTTACACAGGAACGGTTTACAGCAGGGATTCTTAGCCCCTTGGTGACTTACGATGGCATGCTTCTCCCCCCGAATTTGTATGTAAAACATGAATACATGGGCATTTTTTCCAAGAAGCAAGTCTAGAGTTCTCAAGAGATTTTTAAAAGAGAGAGATGACTCCCCATCTTAAAGTTTTCAGTTTGTCCTTTAGAAGTAACCGGCGAGAACATAGTAGCTGTTGGCCACGGGGGTTTGGGTGACCGAAGGCCTTTCGTCAAGGCTCTCATCCAGGAATCGTCATGAGAACCCCCGTTAGCACTTTGGAAATGTGCACAGGCCCGGGTCTGCTTTCGGCTCAGTGTTCACTCAGAATCTCTAAGGTTGGGGTCTGCACGTGCCTGTGGTTAAATAGCTTCCCTGTGGGTTCTGGTGCGTTCTCCAGGTTGGAGCTCCGTTCTGTGAAGTTGGGTAAAGGAATACTGGGACAGAGTTCCTTAGACAACGCAGCAACCTAGGGATTCTGCATCTCTTATGGAGCAAGATGTTGAGCAGGCCACAGTACTAAGTGAAGTGATGCCCCCCAAAGCAGGCTGCTGTGTTTTAGAGTTATTCTAGGATCTAGGTCCTACTCCCACCTTTAACCACTTACATTGCAGGAACAAACCACTATGTAAATAAGTGTCCTTGGCTATTAGCTAGGAATTTTAAGCACCTGGAGATAGGCAATGAGATAAAACCTGTAGGTGGAGAAAGATTATCATCAGAGTCCTTTATTCTATCTTGAATAGGACATCACAGCCTGCTTGCCTAGATTCTGCTTGGAATTACCTGCTCTTCCTGCTCAGCCATTTGCATAATGTGTACTTAGTTCTCAGTTTGTGGGGCTTTGGGCTGGGTGGAATGTGGGGTGGAGGAACACATAGAAGTAGAAGAAAAGGTGCTTGCCTTGAAGAAGGTTATATTAGAGACGGGGCATATAATTTACAATAAATGAGCATTTGTGAAACAGCAACCCTGAGTCTGTAGGTGTGGACACGAAAGTGGAGTGCAGATGACTTCTGGACCTTTCTCTTGTCCTTGACCATGAGACTGACCAAGGTGGGAGGTGGGAATGCCCCTCCCCACCTCCCTGCCCCATTGGGAGAATGAGGTGTGGCCTATGGGGTATGTGTGGCACTTTTAGGAGGTTGTCTCTTCTACTTTGCTTGACTGGTGGTATCTTTAGCCCAAAAGAACATTCACTCCACCTTTTCTCCCGCTGTGCTGTGAGAGTAATTCAGAGCTAATGAATGCGAAGGAGCATTTCGCTCCAAAGACTTGGGATTTGGGCTGTACATACTCCTAGTGAGAGGAGTGTCTAACAACTAGCGTTATGTTACCTTGTTAGGAGCCCCAGCATTAGCCACAGGTCACGGAGATGTTCATGGGGATGACTTCCCTGCACTACCCCCTGTGCTAATTTGCTTCCCCCAGAAGAGGATGCTGATGTGGTCTTAGTCTTCTCAGATAGGACCCAAGAAATTAGAACTTGACCACAGCAAGGGCTTCAGCATTCTTCCGTTTTTAGAGCAAGATTTCTCCAGAGAAGGTTTAGCAGGAAGAAGCCAGGAGAACATAGGATGAACTAGAGCTACAAATTTTATTTTATTTATTTCATTTTAAAAAAAATATATATTTTTATTTATTTCAGAGAAGAAAGGAGAGGGAGAGAGAGAGAAACATCAATAATGAGAATCATTGATTGGCTGCTTCCTGCACGCCCCCCCACTGGGGATCGAGCCCACAGTCTAGGCATGTGCCTTGACCAGGAATCAACCATGCTCTCCTGGTTCATAGGTCGACACTTAACCACTGAGCCTTGCCAGCGGGGTGAGCTACAAATTTCAGAGTAGTCCTACTTCCTATCTTTTTTTTTCTTGTCCTCTCGTAACTTGATTGTGTATTGGTCGTGTATCCACATTACTGTGATTATGTCTGTATTACAAATTCTATGAAGAAAGGCCGGACTCGAGCATTTTTTGCTGAGCCTTTCCGTTTTGTTATAGGAGTAATAATAGGTGAAGGATTGAGCATCTATTGGTAGAAAATTGGGAAAGCACTATATTCAATTTTTCTACACTCCTCCCCAACCCCATTTTTCGGTTGCAGTTGCCATTGAGTTCTATTTATTATTATTATTATTATTATTATTATTATTATTATTATTGCTTTAAAGCTGAAGGAGGAATTCTGTGACAGACTTTAATCCTCAGATTTGAATTTAGCTGTTACTTGTCTGCACTGTCTTGATTTTGTTTTGGTAAGGGGGTTGTTTTACATTCAATTGGAAAGCAGAATAGGAAAATATTTTAAAACTCTTAACACGTTGTGCTAGGTGGTCTTACCATTATCTCTAGTTTTTGTTTTTATTTTGTTTTCTTTTCCCCCAAGAAGTTAAGAGTTAGGGATACGATGCTTGTTTTCCTAGGCTGAACAGTTGAGAGTTTCCTATGAGGCTCTTGCTGTTCCTCTTTGGAACCTACTTGGTCTTCAGAGGTCCTGGCGTTTTGAAGAAACACGAAATAGCTGTTTGGAATATATCCATCTTAAATGGTATTTCTGTGAGCAGGGGTTCCGAGTTCCAGAGAAACTATGGGTGCTTGGGGTAGTGAAAGGACAAGGGTAGGGGGTGTCTAAAAATTGAGAGAACTCTATCTTACGCACAGTTTGTTGTCTTTTGCTAAGCTCAGACGCCAGGTTGTGTTTGTTTTCAAGAAATCTGATAAATTTACCCAGGTGTTCCAGTGTGCATTTTGACATGTTTGTGTTTTTAAATATTTTAATTTAAAAAGTTACATAACAGTTGAGTCAGGTTTAGCAGGATTGATCTCTTACTTCCTATAGAGGTGACATAGACACCAGAAGTATGTCCAGGAACTTAATTGAGATTCATAGTGTCCAGAAGACTGTATGTAGCAGTAGCTATGTCCTGACTCACTGACAGGCTCTGAAAGGATTTATATGCTGACCGACAGACTCTAGTGGGGTCCGTATGCTGACCGATTGACAGACATTAGTAGGGTCCGTATGCCGACTGACTGACTCTGGTAGGGTCTGTATGTTGACTCACAGACTCTATTAGGGTTTGTATGCTGACTGACAGACACTAGTAGGTCTGTATGCTGACTGACTGACACTCTATTAGGGTTTGTATGCTGACTGACAGACACTAGTAGGGTCTGTGACTGACAGACTCTAGTAGGTCTGTGTGCTGACTGACAGACTCTAGTAGGGTCTATGTGCTGACTCTACTAGGATATGTAAGCTGACAGTCTGACTGTTTTGTTACTGTACCAGTTGGTCGTATATTATTGTAGTTCTCTGTCTATTGCATGTGTCCTACAAAGAAAGGAAGTAAACACTCCACATGTGTTCTTTAGGGGGAAGTTCTGTAAATTATGATTTTTAATAGACCTTGCTTTTAGAGTAGCAGCCAAATTTCATCATTTTTAGAAAATGAAGGTTGTGTATCACTTGTATGACATTTTGGAAACTCAGCTAAGGAAATGTCTGCTCAAAGCCTGAAATGATTGTTCTACTTGAAGTCATTTCATTCATTCCCCAACGTCTAGGCAGATTTCGCTTTTACCACCTGTGTCTGAACCTCCTGTGTCCACAGCTTCGCTGTTATTGAATGTAGCACTCCATTGGGTAATGTGGTGATGTTAGTCTGCCATGCATTTGGCACTTATTCATGACCTAATAAATAAAGATGCAAAGGTAATTTTGCATTCAAAATTGATTTTAAGAGGTGGTAAAGTATTATTTTTAGTAAGCCTTTCATTGGGGATCTATGAACCAATATTTACTATTCAATGTTTTTGTGTGTGAATTGCTTTTGTACATTTTTTTTTATTGTGTTGAAGTAACTAGATCAACTTATTCTGACACGGTAATGGTTTTGCTATGGCAAAAGCAAAGGACTGATCACCAACTGTGCCCGGGTTGGGAATGGGCTGAGTACTACTGGGTTGAATAGGAATGGACTGAATTGGGAACCCAAGCAATAGAATTATCCTGCTGATTTCCTAGGCACAGCTCTGTTGAAAGAAGGAATGTAAGTCCTTAACAGCATTCTGATTTAATCTGGTGACATTGATATCAAAATATGCCACTCAGATCCACAGAAGGTGTGTATAACTGTATTTGAAATGTGTTTTGTGTGTGTGTGCAGAATGGGTAAATAAAGTTGTTGAGTAACTTGAACCTATCAGAAGGCTCCTGGGTTTTTTGTTTTGTATTTTGGGTTGTGTTTTCTACCCATGCCATCCCTTCTCCCCACCCCCCTACCCCAAATCTTGCCTCACACTGCCCAGTGATTGAACCTCAGACCAGCCAAAGCCAGTTCCCAGTGACTGGAGTCCTTGGTGTAGGCATGGCTCTCTTCCACCACCTTCTGGGGAAGATGGGAAGGACATTATGAAAGGCACGTGAACTTCTGCAGGAGTTGTGTGTACTTTTTGAGAATGACCTCTACAAGAATTACCTGTTACCTTTGACTTCCATTAACAAACATGTAACTCACTATGTATTGTAAAGAAAAACCTTAAAGATCTCTTAGAATTTAGTGGGCTGTTCCTTCTAAAATATCGCCTGCCTGTTTCTAAAGAGGTGACAGCCAGTGGGATAAACCAGCGTTTAGCTTCTGGGACGGGAAAATACAGGTGAATTGTCTCACCATTGCCATGCCTTACTCCAGTGGTTCTCAACCTTGGCTGCACATTAGAATCACCTGGGAATCTTTAAAATCCTGATTTCTGGGCCTCTTCCTCTGGAAATTCTGTTTCCAAGGTTGAGAACCACAGCCTTACTCCTGTTACTCTCACAGAGACTGGGAACTCATTAGACCTGCAGACTCTCGGGCCCCATCCCAGGTTTACCCAATCAGAATCTCCATCTTAACAGGACTACCTAGTGATTCACCTGCACACTTAACATTAGAGAAACACTGTTCTAAAGGGAAGAATTTCTCCCGAGTTAACACGTTAAATCCTGGTTTATGGGAAGAGGTTGATTTCTGCTCTGAAGTCATCAGTGGATTCCAGAATGGGCTGGGGTAACTCCGATGGTAGAGACCCTCCTCAGAGGCCAAGTAGCCCCCGACGGCAATGTCACCCTCTTGGCATGCTCTTTTGGCTGGTGGAGCCTACAGACTCTCCTTTTACCACAGGCCTCCCTACAGCTTCTGCCTCATTTCTTGGGTATGTAGCTGATGGCCCAGGTGTCAAAGGACTGCCCGGTCCAACATGGTGCAAGGAGAGTCTGTTTTCCTGGGAAAGAGGCCCATGACTGTGCCACTGGAGTCTGCCTGACCCCCAGGAGTCGAGGGGTGTGTGCAAGCACCTCAGTGTCTGTGCGCATGTCTGTGTGCAGAGGGGGTGTGGGCGAGGGGGAAGCAGTGGAGGGATTCTGTTCTACTTTCCTTGACTTGCCAGTTCGGTGGTGGTGTAATTGCCTTGTTTCTCTTCCTCTCTGGCTCCTAGGCGAAGACCTCGCTGGCTCTGCCTAGACGCTCCTCTCCGGCCTCCCTCCCAGCGCTCTCCTGATACGGAAGCTGAGGCCAGACCTCCGTGGGGGATCGGATCTGCTGGAAAACTTGGATGTCAGCACCACCAGAAGTGAAGTGGGGATTGGACATCTGGCACCACCAAAACGGGGCCTGGAAAAGCATCACCACATTTCCCCCCCTCATGCCGAATGGGAATATCAGTTACACTGAAAAACCTAACTTTCTTTGTGCCTCCAAATATTAACAGCCTGAACCGGTTCATTTTTTTTTTTTATGATCTCTTTGCCATGTTTGGCCCAAGTTGGCCAATCTCGCTCTTTTTCGGTGTCTAGCACCCTACCTGTGACTGTCTCTAGCTGGCTACTTTTTGTCTAAGGTGCAAATACACCTCTCAAATTTAATTGTTTCCAGGTGAGAGGGCTGAACCCCAGTAAGTCTTTTCTGTGCTGTGTGAGCTGGTCTCCCATCCTTTCCAGGTGAGCAGGATTGGAGTACAATTTACATAGGTTAGCATTCACTTATTTTCACATTGGAAACAGACAAGTTCACCAGGTGAATGGAGGGTATGTGAGTAATGCAGTCCCTGAACTGTCTCTCCATGGTGATGGGAGAGGTGTCCACAGCAACCTTTTCCTTTAGAGAAGTTGTGCTGGTTCCAGGCCCCTCGAGGGCAGGACCTGACTGCAAGACTCCCCCAAACGGGTGCCTGTCTTCCAGGCTCTCCTCTGTATCTGCTGTGTTTTCTACCTGATGCTGCGTGCCTCTCCGGGCTGAAGAGGCCAGTGTTCTCTGTGGTAACTGGGAATGAGGGTTGAAGAGAAAAGCAGGGTGCCCTTTCCATCACACGAAGAGGTAAAGAAGGCTCCTTGGGAATCAACTTTCCCGGGGAGTTCTTTTGATTTCAAAACAGGTACCCTTCTTTGGGGTTTGTCACCGAGACATGGTCTCTGAAGAAAGCTGTGGCTGTGACTTTAAGAGCAGCTGGTGTTCTGACGCCTGCCTCTTAGCTAGTTGTTTCTGTTTTAGAGGTGCAGGGGAACCAAGCCCTTAGCTGGTTTCCCTTAAAGATAAGCCAGATAATTATCCCCTAGGTCAGTGATGATGAGATATGCAAACATGTTTCTGTAGGTATTCATGTCACTCCCTGAAGGAGGATGATAGCTCCAAAGGATATTATTATATCTTACACTCAAAATCATTGCTTTTTTTCCTTTTCTTTCAAGAATGGTAAGTTTTTAAGCTTTTATATTTTTTATTCCTTTTCACTCAGATGCCCACTTGCTGGGCAAGAGGGTGCGTAGCCAGAAAAGTAATGAAATGTAGCTTTTTTCAAATGGTTCTTTTATACTGTGGTTGATACGGGGCTGCTACCGAAGACGCGATGAGCTGGGCTGCAGGCAGTTCAGCATCCAGCACCCGGGAGCTGCTTTTATATGCACGAAGCTGCCTTCAGAGCGGCTCCTGACTCTGCTCTGTAGCAGGTGATTTTCATCTCGCTGCCTGGAGCGTGCTCTACTGTACTGGCTGTGTTCTTGGAATGCAGGCATCTCTGCATCTATCTACACTGTCTTTAGATGACCAGATAATTTGTTATTTAGTTATTTATTCATCCATGTAAGGTATTTTTTCAAGTCTCCATAGTAGTGTTTGCATGTATTTAATCAGAATGTACGGTCATTTGTGTTGTCATTTTTTTTTTTTTTTTGGTAGAAATTGAGGTCGTTGGAGCATTCAAGTCTATTGTTCATAGTATTACCTTAAATTAAATTTCCAGAATGTAGATATATGTCTTCTGTAAAAGGCTAATAACTATGTTAAAGCACGGCGGATTTCTTTGAATACTGTTTTGCTCATAAATTTTTATCTATAAATCAAGAGATGCATTTCTCTGCACAAAAGTTGATCTCCTCGATCAATAAAATCATGCTGAAATATGTAATATGTATTGCTTTTGTAATAAATACAATAAAAGTTATTTTTAACTAAAAGTGCAATTTTTGAAATCGCACACAAAAGAAGGTAACATTGGATACATTACACATACACAGAATATTAATAACATCGTGCAAAATGTGTTTGAAACTAGCTTCTTTAAAATTATCCTCAAATTACTAGATTGTGTATATATTTCCAACGGATGGTTTTAACTGGTGACTCCTGCCTTTATCAAGTTCATTAGCTTTTCAAAATGATATCAGTGGGAGTGGGATTGTTACGGTCATGCATTATCGGCATTCTAAAGCTTTATTAATTTATTTAACAGATTTTTAATGATCACCTATTGGTTGCCTTGCCATGCCATAGCTAACAAGAAGTCCCTGTCCTCTTTCTAGAGTTTATGATTGGAAAGGAAAAAGTGAACAGCAGTTCTGTAACTCATCCCTCCCTACTGGGGATGCCTTTCCTCATAAATAGCCTTGACCAAAACCATTATCCTACATAATAAAAGGGTAATATGCAAATAGACCGGATGGCAGAACCGAACAACCAATCAAAGCGTAATATGCTAATGATATGCTAAGGCTGTTCAACCACTTGCTATGACATGCACTGACCACCAGGGGGCAGATGCTCTGATTGGTAGTTAGCTTGCTGCTGGGGTCCAGCTAATCAAGACTGAGCGAGATGGGCCGGACATGCCCTGGAGCCCTCCTGCGGTCCCTCCCTGGCCCAATCATGCACCGGTGGGGTCCCTCAGCCTGGCCTGCACGCTCTCGCAATCTGGCACCCCTCAGGGGATGTCGGAGAGCCAGATTCAGCCCGATACCGCAGGCCACTCCCCTTGGGAGGGTGCCAGATGCAGGGCTCATGGCTGGTGAGGGCTGCTGTGGCAGCGTGAGCCTCTCCTGATCAGGACTGACTGGGCACAAGCCCGCGGCAGGCACAGTGGGGCTGGGATGAGTGGGAGCAGCAGGTGGGAGCTGCAGGTGGCATTGGACTGCGGGTTTCAGCCCGATCCCTGCAGACCACCCAGAGGGACCCCACCCATGCATGAATTCATGCACCGGGCCTCTAGTTAGGCAATAGTTATGTAAATGTTTATGATAAAGGGACATTGAACACTCTCATTAGTGTCAGTGCAATAGAGATAAAGTGGACTGTTCATAATAACAGTAGGACAATTGCAAGTTCTCTAGTCCAAGGTGTCTGATAGGATGAGAATGATTTATCAGTTCTCCAAGTGCAATTGAGAGACAATAATTGTAAGTATTGCTAAATGTACTCAGCTTTAGCAATATATCTGGAGGAGTAACAATAATGAGGGTGTCAAGGGTGTAATTTCCTTAGATCTCTAAGCACCTTTGCAGGTGTTTTCTTACTCACCAACCAATCCATCCTTTGTAAAAGGCAGGGAGGGTCTGGCTTCATTAACCCTGTTTTACAAATAGGTGAATGAACACCCTTTTTGAGTGGCTCACCTCCACACTGATGGAGTTTTTGTCAAAGCCCATACCTCAGAACAAGGTAAACCATAAGGTTACAAACCATATACATAAGGTTTGTAACAGTGAAGGCTCAACAAACACAACATGCTAACCACTATTTTTAAATATAGCTGGAAACTTAACAAATATATCAGGATTAGAAAATGACTATTCAGTGAGTGCCCCAATGATGGTCATTATTTGCTTGATTTCTGTAGCCTTAATTATTACATCATGTCGTAAACCTCTCCAGGGTTTTCACTGAGGGCTCATTGTGAGAAGAGTCAACCTTCAGGCTCATTAGCTTGTCCTGGTTGGTGACAACCTTATTGGCACTTCCTGTGGCAGTCGGGCTATCACCTATTACCATGGTCTCAATGTATCCAACCTACATTCTATGTCTTGAAATTTTGACAAAAGCCAAGGTCTCTCAGAAAAATGTAGACGTGTAAGTTTTGCATTCCATTTATGGGGGTTAGGACCTCCTCAAACCCATCCCTGGGCATCAGGGTGGGACTCCAGGAGTTAGATAGCACATACCACTCTCTCTTTCTCTCTCTCTCTCTCTCTATCTCTCTCTCTCTCTCACTCTCTCTCACACACACACACACACACACACACACACACACACACACACACCATCTCCCTTTCTTTGACATGAAAAAAAAATCGAGACATCCATTTGATACTTTTTTAAGCAGAGGAGGAGAATATATGAAATTAGGAAATGCTTACTTTTTTTTGTTTTTACTGGACATTGTGGAATAGTTAAGAATTTGAGTAGGTTGTAATCATGGAGAGTAATTTTTTTAAAAAACCTCACTTGAAGATATATTTTTATTGATTTTTAAAGAGAGAGACAGACATAAAGAGAAAGACAAGGAGAGACAAAGAGAAACAGAGAAACATCAATTGATTGCCTCCAGACCACATCTCAGTGGGGATGGAACCGGCAACCTAGGTATGTGCCCTGACCGGGAATCAAACCCACAGCTTTTTGGTGTAAGGTTAGCCTTCAGACAACAGCATCCGGCCAGGGCAATGCTTTCTTTTTCTTAAAAACTTCAAGGCACTGTCTTCTTTGATTCTCATTAAGCCCAAACCAGCTATATTACTTTAATCATTATGGGCAGAATTCCCTCCTGAATTCCCAAAGGCATTTAAATGTCCTTTCTGGTTGTATGCAATACCTTACCCAGGTCAGATTCCATAGGCGCATTTATTCTTGCAATTAAGGGAAACAGAGGGACCCTTGGGAAGCAGCATTCCAAATCTAATGAGGCCTAGCCTCAACAGTGTATACCCCTTCACCGTCCACCCTGCCCACTTTCAGGAAATACCTTCTTGATCCACTTGGGTTTTCTTCATCAGTGATCTGCTTACATTATTGTTTACATTCAGTTTTCGCTTCCTAAGATCTCTCCTCTCTCATCCATTCCATTGCCTTTTTAGAATTTATGGATGGGATGGGAAGCACTCTCTACACATGATTTAATAAGGCCTATTAAACATTCTTTTCCACATTTAAATTTCTGGATCATTTTAATCAGTCCACGGTTTGACTCTTACTTTCTGCATTCGTCCGTGTTTCAGATGGAAGTTGTTTTCAGTGGAAGGTGTCAGCAAACCCAAAGTACTAGCACCTTCTGTGTGACAGAAGGTTACAGTCACCTACAGTGAACTTTGGAGATTAGCAGTCTGAGATTAGACTGGAGCCCCCTCAGCCATCAAGGACCCAGGTCCTTCTGACATGTTAACTCACCATCCTCAAAGCGTGTCAGATTCTACCTCTCATACAATATAGCTACTCAAACTACGGGAACTGGGTCGAATATATTCCAG